GCTTGCTCAGGCAATCCACTCACCTCAGCCTCCCAAAGGCGCGGGATTACAGGCTGAGCCACCGAGCCCGGCTTGCACCCATTTTTTGTTCACTTACTACTTCCTTTTGTATTCAAGATTTATTTCTTGAGCCTCTGCTTTGTGCCAGGTACCGTGCTAGGCCCTGAGGAAATCAGAAGGAACAAAACAAAGACCCCTGACCTCCTGGAACTGATGTTTGAGTGGGGGCAGGCAGACAGTAAATAAGATAAATAAGTGAAATCTATGAGCTCTGTTATGATAAGTGTTATGAGAAGAATAAAGAATGGAAGGAAAATGAGAGAATGTTGGGGATGGCTGCAGGTTGGGGTGAGGGGGATGCGGACAGGGCAGGCCTCAACTGATAAGGAAACATTTGAATAAAGAGCCTAAGGAAGCAGGGAGCCACATAGGTGTCTGGGGGAAGTGTGTTCAAGGCGGAAAGTGTGGCTGGAATTGAGGCGGTGAAGTGAGAATGGTTTTCATAATCTAGGAGCACAGAGAGGCCCATTTGGCTGTTGTGAGATGAATCAGAGGGAGGTGGGTCAGAAAGGAGCCATAAGGAGTCAGGTCACAGAGGACTTTAGGATTCAGAGTATGACGGGGTACTGATGGAAGGTTCCAGGCAGGGAATTTTCCCTGAGCATACCCCTGATGTAACCCCACCTCGAGTTCTAGGCGTGTGATAGGTTACTCCATATACCTGGTGCAATTCCCCCTCTGCTCCTGGGCAACTCCTTATGTAGCACTTCCTTCTTTGTGCCCGCTTGGGCCCCACAGGGAAATGCGCTGGAACAAGGGCACCATTCTGAAGGCCTCTGTGGATTACATCCGCAAATTGCAGAAGGAGCAGCAGCGCTCCAAAGACCTGGAGAGCCGGCAACGATCCCTGGAGCAGGCCAACCGCAGCCTGCAGCTGCGAATTCAGGTCTAGAAGTGCGGGGGAAGAGGAGGGACCTTCCTGCAGGCCAAGGCAGAGGAAGGACAAGCCAGGGTTTCCCTTCCTGGCATATTTGGGGATTCCCAGACTTCCCAGCTCACATGCTGCTGCTGATGATGATAAGAAGTAGTAATCATAACATTAACAAGAAAAAGAATGAATAATTAGCTAATGTGCATGGCGTTAATCTTGTGCTGTATACTGTGACAAGAACTTTATATGCATTGACTTATTTAATCCTCACAAAAATCCTATGAGACAGGGACCATTATTATACCCATTTTACAGATTGGGACTCTGAGGCTTCAGAGCTGTTAAACAATTTGTCTAAAGTTTTGCAACTAGTGAGTGGCAGAGGCTGAATTCCAACCCAGGCAGCTTGCCCTTTTAACCTTTTCACTTATCCATCTTATCCTGTACCCACCCCCTACTTTTTACAGGAGCTTGAACTGCAGGCCCAGATCCATGGTCTGCCAGTACCTCCCGCCCCAGGGCTGCTCTCCCTGGCCACGACGTCAGCCTCTGACAGCCTCAAGCCAGAGCAGTTGGACATTGAGGAGGAGGGCAGGCCAGGCACAGCAACGTTTCATGTAGTGGGAGGACCTGCCCAGAACGCTCCTCATCAGCAGCCCCCAGCACCGCCCTCGGATGCCCTTCTGGACCTGCACTTTCCCAGCGACCATCTGGGAGATCTGGGGGACCCCTTCCACCTGGGGCTGGAGGACATTCTGATGGAAGAAGAGGAAGGGGTGGTGGGAGGACTGTCAGGAGGTGCCCTGTCCCCACTGCGGGCTGCCTCCGACCCCCTGCTCTCTTCAGTATCCCCTGCTGTCTCCAAAGCCAGCAGCCGCCGCAGCAGCTTCAGCATGGAGGAGGAGTCCTGATCAGGCCTCACCCCTCCCCTGGGACTTCCCTACCCAGGAAAGGAGGACCGGTCAGGATGAGGCCCCATCTTTTCCCCCCACCCTCCCGTGAGACTGCTCTGCCCAGGTATTCTGGGGATAAAGGAGATGTTATCCGGCCCCACCCTTGTAATCAGGCAAAGAGGAGGAGTCAGATGAAGCCCCGCCCCCTCCCCAAAGGAACTACCCAGTGCAGGTACTTCAGAGGAAGAAGGCTTGAGAAGGCCCCGACATCAGGGCCCACTCCCTGTGGATCACAGCCTCACCCCTGCCCCCTTGGGACCTATAGTTACCCAGGTGAGGGAAGGGGACAGGATAAGTTGCCCCTGTCCCCTAGGTACTGTGCTAGCTAGCTCTGAGTAACGGAGGTGTCAGGATGATGCTCCATTCCCTCTCTTGGAACCACCAGTCTAGTCCATCCTGGCACAGAAGAGGAGTCAAATGATGGAGGTCCCAGCCCTGGGGGTTTAAGCCCTGCCCCTTCCCCATGTACCCTGCCCTGCCTGGGCAAGGAACAGAAGTGAGAATGAAACCTGGCCCCTTCCCCTAGGAACTCAGTCCTGGCCTTCTAGGAATGGAGGAACCAGCCCCCCCCCCCCCATAGAAACAGCTCAGCACAAGTATTTCAGGTGTGGAGGAATCCTTTGGACCAGGCCACCCCTCATAGAGATGTCAGCCCTGCCCTTGTCCCTTAGCAACATCCCATCCAAGCATTCCACACTGCAGGGAGGAGTGGTACTTAAGCTCCCCTGCCTTAATTTGGGACCAACCTGACCTAACCTAGGAGGGCTCTGAACTGACCTTGCTTTTGGGGGAAGGGAGATCTTGAAATCTTATGGATTGACTTTCTAGGCCTAGATCTAGAGTGAGAGTTGGGCCTGCACCTTGGGCAGGGTCCTGCCTTGAGGGACAGTTTGGGAGGTGATGGGGATTAGTGGGGTAACTGAGTCCAGGTTACCAGAACCAGTGAAGGGGCCATTCCTGGGAGTTTCCCAGCCCAGGAAAAAGTGGAAGCCTCCCCCATCAAGGCAGAGGCTTGGAGGAGGGTTGCAAGAGCATATACCCTTTCATTTGTTTATCTGATTTTTTTTATTGACATGCCATACTCAGAAGCTAGGTCACCCCCAACCTCTGACCCCCATCCATTTCTCCATTTGGAGGAATCACCCCATTTCAAAGTTATCCAGAGACACTCCCCACCCATTCCCACCCCTCATGCCTACACCCAAGGTTGGCAGTTTTGGGTTATTGGGGCCAGGTCCCAAGGAGGGTGTACTGAGGGGTCTGTAGATTTGTGATTAAAATAATAAAAGCTAGGCGTGTTTGATGCGCTTTTAACTTTGGCAAAGAGTCTCCTGTCCTTGTTTTTGACTGATGTGAACATGGCTTATGGGCCAAGAGGGATGAATATTCTTGGGAGAAACATTTCAGAGGGAGGGATAGGTGAAAGGATTTAAATAGGAAGAGCTGGAGGAAAACAATCTTCAAACAAAAGCAAACAGTCCTTTTAATGACTGCCAGGCGCCATTTTAACTGCTGTGTTTCACCTAATTTATTTCTCTAAGGAATGTTACTCTGAAAGTGCTGCTTATTTTCATTGATGTTTGAAGAAGCTGAGGAATAGGCTGGGCATGGTGGCTCACACCTGTAATTCAGGCACTTGGAGAGGCCAAGGTAGGAAGATCATTTGAGCCCAGGAGTTCAAGACCAGCCAGGGCAACATAGCAAAACCCTTTCTCTACAAAAAGAATTATAAAAATTAACTGGGTGTGGTGGTGCACCTGTAGTCCCAGCCACTTGGAAGGCTAAGATGGCAGAATTGCTTGAGCCCAGGAGTTCGAAGCTACAGTGAGCCATGGTCACATCACCCTCCAGCCTGGGTGACAGTGAGAACTTGTTTCTAAAATATTAAATAAATACCCAATGAAGAAGCTGAGAAATTGAGTAACTTTTATGAAGCTTTGCAGTCTATAAATGGGTGAAGTGTCAAGTCAGGTGAGTGAAGTCTCCGGATTGAAAAATGTCAGCTGGGCATGGTGGCTCACATGTATAATCCCAACATTTTGGGTGGTATAGGTGAAAGGATTGCCTGAGTGCAGGAGTTCAAGACCAGCCGCGGTAACTTGGCGAGACCTTGTCTCTACAATAATCAAAAAACTAGCTGGGCATGTGGCTAAAAATGTCCCTGAGGGCAGAGGGGGAAAGAAGATGTTCTTACAAATTCTCTTTTGAAACTGATTAGGAAGTATATGAGACTATTTCCTGGCAGATAACAGAGGTATTCAAGATGTTGGAAAGGGCAAAGACAAAAACCATAAAGGTAGCCAGGCTCCGTGGCTCAACCTGTAATCCCACGCCTTGGGAGGCTGAGGTGAGTGGATTGTCTGAGCCCGCAGGTTCAAGACCCGCCTGGGCAACTTGGTGAGCCCTCATCTCTACAATAAATCAAAAAATTAGCCGGGCGTGGTAGTGCGCGCCTGTAGTTCCAGCTACTTGGAAGGCTGAGGCGGAAGGATCGCTGGAGCCC